AGAATGTGACTTTAAACGGGAGAGCTGAGAAAACACCACTTTGGGACCTGGTCACAAAACACTCCGGGTTAAAGCGGTTTTGAGCTGGAAACCAACGGCTGGGGACGGGAGGCAGATGTTGACTGTGTGATCGTGCAGATAAAATCCGTTGCTGAACCATCACGACACCAGATCAAATGGCGTGTCTGAATGCACCCATGGATAGCCATCTGCTGGTTGTCCCGGGGCTGAAAGATGACCGCCTAGTCCCAGCCTGGTGGGACATGCTTCCAATTGAGATCAGGGCCCTGCGAGACCTGTTACCGTTTTCGCAGGGCCTGCAAAGCAAAGCTGTTTTGCCAGGCCTTTGGCTGAGGCAGTGGGGGGGGGGTCAACCCCCCCCCCCCCTCGGTTGCTGCTGCATGAGACCACCTGGCTCGGTGCCGGCCCACGCGTTTCCCGGCTGTAAGAACTGAAATGGGATATATGCTGCACTGCCCACTTTAAATGTTTTAAATTGGTTTCATTGTATTGATTTAATATAGTTGTTAACTGATTGAATTATTTTAAGATTGTGTTGGATTTATTGTTGTGAGTTGCCCTGAGCCCGCTTGCAGGAAGGGCAGGACACAAATCGAAATAATAAATAAATATCTCAGGTCGGAGTGTAGATCTCTCTAGCTCCAAACGGTTTCTCAGCGCTACCTGTTTTCATGTGTCTTTTCCAGCCCGGTTAAAGATAACTAAATACGGCGGACCTGCTGCCTACAAAGAATATGCTGTGCCACCAGGCCGTGCCTCCTCCCCAGATTTAATTGAGTGACCCTTGGGTGCTTTCTCCCGTGCCTTGTGCCAGAATATCTGTTCCCTTCGGACAGTCTTTAGATCTCAGCCAGCTTGTGTCTCTTGTATAGGGATGCCAGCCTCCAGGTGGGACCTGGGGATCCCTCGGAATTATAGCTCATCTCCAGACTACAGAGATCAGCTCCCCTGGAGAAAACGGATGCCTTGCAGGGTGGACTCTGTGGCCTTGTGCCCAACTGAGGTTTAAAGGAAATTGATTCAATGGAACATATTTTCTTTAATTGCCCTAGGCACAAAGAAATTCAGTCAAAATCTATTGAGCCGCTGATCAGAAATTTCCCCGGCAGATCAAACAAAATTAAACTTGATTATCTTCTGTCTGATATAAACCATGAAACAACCCGAACAGTGGCTAAATTTTGTGCACAGGTGGACAAAGATCAGAAAATGCATACAGTAGCTTGAGTATAATTTTTAAAGTTGCGAAATTTGATCGCTTGGTTTTCTGTAAACCTTTGTGCATGCCGGTCATTGACTGTAAAATGAAATTGTGGCTGTAGCATAATCGAAAGCTGACTAGGATGGTTGCCAAATTTGGTTGGCTGGCATACCGAACTTGGAAAGGGAAGAGAAGTACAGACAGATTTATTTTTAATCTTTGATCGTAATATTAATTTTTACCATTCCTGTATTTTAAACTTTTTAGATTCCTGTTTATAATCTTAGATGCTATTATCTTTTATAATTTCACTGTTCTTTTACCTGTCATTTACTTGCCTCTTATTGTGTTGTTTGCTGGTCTATGACCGTAATAAATAAATTGAAATACCCCACGGAGGTCCCCGTCCTCCCCAGGCTCCACCCCCAAATCTCCAGGAGTTTCCCCAACCTGGATCTGGCAACCCCCCACCCCCCCGCCCCCCGCCGGCGGCCAGGCGGCAGTCCTATTTGT